AGGGAGAAGGGAGAAGGGAGGGAGATATGGGGGAAAAGAAACAGAGGAGGATTCTTAGTCTTCAGCGACAGAGCAGACTAGTATGCAATGGCACAGCCGCACAAGAGGCCAGTCAGTATTTGGGCTGCCGAGAAAACAACGTTGAGGGGCAGGTGTTGCCTGTAATAAATGGCCACCCCTGCAGACCGGACAGGACCCATGTCCAATTTTGTGACATCCAGCATCATCAAAATGACCTCACATTAACTCTCGGCACTGTCTCTTATACACATCTAGATGTGTATAAGAGACAGCCATATACCAGACCTAATCCAGGCCGTACGTGGAAAAAATAGCAAAAAACGAAAAGAAGTCCCAGCATGTAAGTGCAGTCTTCTGAGTCCTGACGGAGCAATGCATACCTCGCTCCACTTTCTCGCATGAGTCCTCTCTTATTTTTCCCTCTCTCTCTCTCTCTCTCTTTTTGGACACAATAGTCCTCCCTCATTTTGTGTGAATGAATTGCTTAGCTGTGGTAGTCGAGACCCGATCCGAACTCCCATGCTTCCATTCGTCTTTTCCAACGGAACTTCTCTTCCGGCGAAAGCGAGTTTATCCACGTCCTGCGCGATGACCGCACAAATCGCGACAGCAACAACGGCAATAAAGTGACGGTGAGGACTGTGTGGCCATTTATTTGCAAAAAAAAAGAGAAAACAAACATCCCCTCAGCTTTGAAATTTCCAAAAAACCTAGCTTGGTGCTTTCGGACTGGGATGGCAGAGTGCACAATGTGCACCTGGACCTGCAGATGGGCAAGTGCATTCTCACCACCCGGCTACCACTTTTTTTGCCCTTTCCAATACCCTCCCTCCACCCAAACGTCTAACAAACACCCCCACACCCCACACTGCCATCTCCATCCGCATAGAACGCTTAATGGTCGTCAATTAGGAACAAACAAACAAACAAACAAACAAACAAACAAACAAACAAACAAACAAATAAACAAACAAACAAACAAACCAACAAACAACACTTCCAGTCTAGATACGCCTATAAAAAATGACCTGCGCATACGTTTTTTAAGTTTTTTTTAACTTTTTTATTATTTTCTTCTGGTCACCTGGTTGCATCTGGAATCACAATCCGGTCTGTCTTTCGAGTCTCGACACTCCAGATATGCGCTGAGAGATGAGTTTTTTTTTTTTTTTTAAAGCACAGTTTATTGGTCATTTTTTATCGAGGTCGTCTGCTGGGGCTTTTCCCAAGCTTCGTGCGCGTGTTTTACGCTGCACTTTCTTCTCGACTGTCTTTCAAGTTTCAACACTTCATGGGTGTGTACCAACTGTGAGCTACGGCAGGCTCGGGCGTTTTTTTTTTTTTTTTTCCAATTCGGGTGGAGAGGGTAGCGTTGCCAAACCCTACACTCCACAATGTCCACAAATGACAACATCAGCCGAAGAAATGTGCCAAAGCTTCCATTAAAATTTGAAAAGCCATCTATTCCCACGTCCTGAATGATGTACGGGCAAGCAGCCACCTGAAATTAAGGCGGTAAAACCAATTTAATACATTTGGCACGATGGTTCTGAAATCAGAAGACTAAGGGCATACGAACACTACACATCTTTGACTCGCATCTGGATGTCATCAAGGTCAGATGCATGCAGGAGAATCCGTAAATCCGGTCAGGTACGTTCAGGAAAAAAAGCCTACCCAGGAAAAAAATGTCCATTTTGACGAAATGGTCGTTACTAAGTGATATCAGCTAAACATGTGCGCAACACTCTTTGGTCCAACTGACACACACTTGGACAGACGTACATGCTGCACATCCTGCCCACGTTCGTCAAGGCAATCAATGCAACTTCTAGCGGCTCCCCTTTCATCGTGCCTCTTATGTACAAGGCTCGCCACTGTACAGACATACATGAAGCACATCCTGCCCACATCCCCGTGTGCCATAACGGGCCACTTGCACGCTATGAAAAGGAGGCAGAGTGAAGGGAGATCTGAAGATTTCTGTTCTCTTTATGATGCTCATTCCTATGGCTTTAGTAGTTCTGCACTGGAGGAGGGAGGAGGAGGGAGGAGGGAGGAGGGAGGAGG